CCAGGATCGCTTTGTGTGTAAACCCGACAGTCGGCTCTACAAGTTTAAACAGACTCCCGGCGGCAAAAGTCGCCGGGAGTCTGTTTAAACAGCCCCGATGCTGGCGACGTACACTGTACGTCGTCAGTCACGAAGGGGTTAAGCTTTTGCTATCCTAAAAAGGATTGGTGTGCTGGTGACATTTCTACATTTTTGCTGAGATTCGCTGCGCCATCCGCGGTCACTGCGAGCACCCCACACTACAAGGGACATATCGGTAAGGAGTGCGACAAGGATAGTACTTATTGTGTTGTAAAGTAGTCACCGCTCTAAATTCACTCCTGTGATGTACTACAATCTCACGTTTAGTTTACTAATTTGTATTGAGATTGTAGTTCATCACGTGTGTGAACTTGGAGCAGTGGCTACCTTAAAACATACACTGGGACCACAGAGAACAAAAGTAGCCAACCTCCAGAAGGAAGGACAGTGTAGGCACCAATTCAGAGATGATTTGAGGATCTACAGCTGAGTGGTACACACATAAGCTACATAAAAGAGGACTATGGCCCATCCTTTTTCGGCCATAGTTCTCTTAACGATCACAGGAGAACATATACTATGTCCTCCTGTGAAGCAAAACTCAGCATATAGCAGGTTATTGCCCGCTATACGCTGACAGCGCAGAGACGGGCTGGATCCAGACAATACAGTTGAGATCCACCCCGCTGGCTGATTGACAGCTGGCTTTGCCTCTCTAGAGGCAGAGCCAGCTGTGCCTGCCCCCATCCACATCCGTCCCTCAAGTCAGCGGTGGAGGAATGGAGAGAGGAGGGGGAATCCCAGTGGGTAGCATTGACTGACAGTCACTGCTCTCTTCAGGGAGAAGATCGAGAAATGATCGATCTGCGGTATGTGATCGCTCATTTCTCAATCTATAGAGCCGACGTGTGACATTGAAGCTGTCTTCCCCAAGCTATTTATGGGGAAGACTTGTGTTGCACTCTACCCACAATTCTCCTTTAAGGTACTTGAATGCATTATTAGGATTAACTCCTGAGGTTAGTTTCACTTTAAACAGATAGCAGCTCTCTACATTTTCCTGTTAATCAATGCAAACTGCAGACAGGGTGACAAAAAAACCAAAGCAATGTTTATACTAAGTGTGACCATGTTTATAATGCACATGGAATGGAACACCCTAACTCTGAAATAAGTCAAATACTTACATTCCTATGGGTGTTGCCTTGAAACTTTACTTTTTATAGAGATAGAAGGCATAGTGTGTTCTTAATTGGGGCAAAGGGGTTAGTATCAGAAACTGCAGTGACTTGCAGGGTTGCACCACTACAACCATTTTGGTCTACATACCGGTAAATACTTTTTTCCAATTTTGTCTGCTCCCTTTTAAAATGTTCTATTATAGTGATGGGCCAATAGGAATGTGTGGCAGGCTTTATTATTACGCCCAAAAACCATAATTCTTTCTGATTCAATCTAAATTTTACATGTACCCTGCCCCAAATTCCTATCTGATGTTAGTATACAGACCCCAGATGCAGAGTAATGGATTCTCTGCCCAGTGACTGCTTGCTGCGAATGGCCAAGCGTGTGGTTTGTGTATGGGAAGGCCCTAATCCTCTATTGCCACGTATGCAACTAATAAACTGAGCTTATGAATTTGAGAAGAAAGCACAAATAAGGCTTCATCACAAAACTGCTGTTTCTTCACTATCCAATCACACCCTTGACCAAAACTGGAAGCTGTCATTCATTCCCAGCTAAGGCTATTGAAGTGGAAAGGTGACACTAGGTGTCACTAATAGACCCCTAATGCCACCTTAAAAGGAGAACTATGGGGTTGAGGCTTTTCCCCATAGTTCTCCTTAGGGTAACGGGAGGACACAAACTAGCGTCCTCCCGTCACCCTAGGCTCAGTATACCGCAAGCTCAGTATACTGAGACGCCGCAGTATACCGCGAGCAGCTGCTCGCGCTATACTGAGACGCTGCAGCTGAAGCGGATCGCAACAATTATGTCTGGATCCGCCCAGCTGCGTGACTGACAGCTGGCTCTGCCTATCTAGAGGCAGAGCCAGCTGTACCCGCCCCCTCCCCCGTCCATTCTGCTAGTCAGCCCTGGTGGATCTGAGCGGGGAGGAGGGAATCCAGCCCCTACCCTGTCACGGCAGAGAGCCGTGACAGGATCGAGAGGTGAGCGAACACCGGTATTTGTTCGCTCAATTCACAATCTACTGAGCCGGCCTGTGACAGTCTCATTGTCACAGGTTGGCTAGAACTATGAGGTGAGTGAAAAGCACTCACCTCATAGTTCTCCTTTAAAGAGTAGAACCTGTCATATCCAATGTGCTATCACATAGGGGGCTTGTGAGCACCCCTCCCCATGTGATAGCAATGAAGTAAAAAAAGAAAAGAAAAATAAAATAAAAAATACCCCCCCAAAAAAACGAAATCGGGTGCACCTACATACAAAACTGACGAATGCGCTACACATTGAAAATTACTGGCTCCTAACTTTTTTTAGCTGGCTTCTAGATTCACAACAAATTTATCAAGCCCTGGTTTACCCAATTCTATATGAATGTTGGGAACAGGTTTATTTATGCGGATCAAGATGTAATTAAAGGCATATTCTATCTTTTTCAAAAAAATAATACATTGAAAGAAAAAAAAAATACAGGATTCTGCAGTGAGGTGAGCCGTCACAAAAGTGAAATTAACCTTCACAGGTCCTATTATAGCCCTTTATTTCTAAAATACCTGAATGTTGCCAAAAGGTTTTGAAGGCTATAATTACCACAATTACATTATCATCATACAGGATGTATATAGTGCCAACAGTTTACAAAAATATAGCCAGACAGAGTTACAATACAATTGCATACAAGAAGATTAGACGGACCCTGCTGGTGAGACCTTACAATGACATCACCACTTACTTTCTGTAGAAGTTCAGATCTAGAGACCGACATCATTTTGGTCAACATTTCATCAACACTGCCAACTGATTTTTCAAAAGCCAAAAGATATTCATGGATCTCTGTAGGGTATTCTGCATTCACGTCATCGTCGTCCATTTTGTCCTAAAGGAATAAGGAAATATATATAAAAAAGGGTCCATTTTTGTGTCCCGAACTCAAATCAAATTGTTTAACGCGAACCTTTTTTGTCATCACATACTAGACACCGTAATAAACTCTTTCTCATTAAATATAACCAATCTCTGTTATTAGTTTTCACAGCCAAAATCAACACTAATTGACAAGCTGCTACAATATTTTAGGTCTGAGTGATTTTTTTTTTTTTTTTCAGGCAGTTGCACACCCAATTTAACCACCTGAAGCATTACAGCTGTATGTGTTAGCGGTTCACTAAGAATGTTATTTAAAAAATTAATTTACCAGGCTACGCTAAACTAACACAAACAAACTAAGGAAAAAAAATGCTCCAAACTGGCACAGCCAATGCCAAAGTCAACATCATCGCGGCACGTTCACACCGATAGAGGCTGCCAGAGAAACAGACCTCACACACATAGCCCAGATGCCCAGAGGGTAATCCTGTTCTTAATCCTTTAAAATGATTGTATTAGGAGAGGGAGAGGCTGGTAAGAAATACTGTTGAGATACTATAACAGGATGAGACTGGAACAAATTGAGAAAGACTCATCACGTACACAACTAGCAAGTGCGCACTTTTCATTTGTTGTAATAACAGCGTAAGCGAATGGCACAAATCCAATTGGCAGACTGAGGGGAACATTTGCATTCTGCATATTCCCCAACACAAGGAAGTTTTATTAAAAATAAAAAAAACATTTGTAAGTTGGGTTGACAACTTAAAGTACACTTCGGAAATGTTGAGCAATGGGTCACTAAAAAAGAAAGAAATATGTTAATCTTTGCCGTACACTTTGCCGTTTTGAAATTACATTAATACCTTGACTTTCAAGTGGATTTCCTATCTAAATAAAAATATGCCTGAGCGGTTTTTAAACGTTGCATTATCATGGATGGATTCCCCAGCCAAAGCCCTGTTTTTAATCTTTCTTCCAGTTATAGTATTCATAAATAAAACACACTAAAGCCCAACAACTAGGACATTGTTATAGTGTTGATCTTATTCCTAAATCTAGCAAGGATGCACAACCTTCATTGTGCATTTTTGCAAGATTTAGTATGTTCGGGTTTCCCCGAACTACCTCACCAGCGATTAGGCAAGCAGGGCAGAAGAATGGACTGTGGTAAGAGTCTTTTACTGCTATTTTTTGTTTTAGTTAGCAACTTTACAAGGGGTTAGGGCTCATTCAAACAAGCATAAAAAAAAGCTGCATTCAGATCCACATTGCACATGGTTTTAAACCGATCTGAACGCGGCAGCATCGTATGTTGTGGGCCCACGGTGTTTTGCTGCGTAAACTAATACAAGAAAAATGTGTTACCATATTTTACGCAGTACGCATGTAAACATTCAAAACATACATATTGCATAAATGGACACAGCCATACATGCCGCTGCTGCCTAACGAATTCAGGGCCAGGGGGAGAACTAACCATAAACAATGTGCAGGCAATGGTGATGCAGAATGACCTCGGCCTTTAATCATTTCATAATGCCAAATCAGTTGAAAGCTATCAAATACTGAAATTATTATTTTCATCAAACGATTAGATTTATTCACTTATGACCGGCATTAGGGTCTTGTTAAAACAATCATTTTTCAACATCCAGCTCATTAAAGATCCGACTGGATGGTTGATTGGATGAAGATGATCAATTTTACAGTAAAATCAGGGAAAACGAAGCAGTGGATTTGTATAAATGACTATGTAATCATTAAACAGCTGCACTAATGTGTCTCTTAAATATGTGCCTAGAGTTCAGCTTTAGGTCTTTGTTTGCTTGCAGTGATGGCTGTGTCAGTCACATCTTGAATGTCTTTCACTGGGGACAAATCAGGTGACCCGACATCTCAAATTATGCCTAATTCTCGCTCAGTAAGACCACAGACATTATCTTGATATAAAAAAAAAAAAGTCAGTTCAGCTCATGGACTGACAGTTTTAGAATTTTAGCAGCAAACTACCTTTCAAAGTAAACTCTACAAGAAGCAGTTAACACTGTTACATACTAGGTGTTCCCCATCCATCAATGTAGAAGTAACTCATGCATAAAAGTATGAAACAAGCCAACCCTTTTGTCCTCTCAAGTCCAAGCAAACAGTCTTCAGTTGGATTGACAAAACAGAACTATGACTACAAATGTTTGACACCTGATTGACCAATTCACTTGTACTCCAACTCCCATCACCCATTCTGCAGTGCTTGGCACCAGTAGGTAAATGTGATAAGAAGGTTTGAAACTCAAATTGTTGTAAAAGTGTCTTCTGCTGTGACCACTGATCTGATTTCAGGTGATCTATCTTGCACACATCAGTCTACTAATCAATGATAATCACAGACTGATCAATCTGGCTGGGCCTCCAGACCCCTGGTGTCAAACCTGTCTTTTTTTTTGCTTACATAAAGCCAGTAACGGAAAACAATGTAGGACTAGCTTAGTAGCTAGATGGTTTGGTTTACTTCTTACGTACTATCCTACTTTTTTTGTACAATCCATATTTTTTTTACAGTCATTTCAAACGTAAAAGTAATTTTACTTTTACATTTAAGAGAGGCCGTAGGAAGCACAAATGTGACAGGATTGGTTTGTAAAGGGCTGGTAATAGCAAAGCTCTCTCATGTAACTTGCTCCCAGTCTATGACTGCCTCCTGAAGCAAGTCTTCAGGCTCCACAACTCCTATAGCATGTCTGGAGTCTCCAAACAGCTCTTGTAGCATGCTCATGGTTTCTAAATGTAGAGTGGGGGAGCCGATGCTCGTTTGTGCTTGTAGCAGCCTGCTTTCGGCTAAAGGTCCTTCCCCTCCGCCGGTACAGGTGTACTATCTGTACCCCATACTGCCGTCCAGTGCAGCTTTGCTCTATGGGTTTTGAATTTCACTCGCAAATTACGAGCACTTGTTTGTAAGCGCGGCCGTGCTGACCAATGAGATGCACTTGTTAACACGGTTAAATACGTTTTTTGGTAAAACTATTTTTTGTATCACGACAAGCAGATTGGGCCTCCGTTTAGTCCCTTTTTATTTGTTTTGCTTGTAGCATGTTCATAGTGTCCGATTATCTCTCATTGCATGTCTGCACTCTCTTATCTTTTGCTACAAACCCATAGTCTGATTACTTTCTGTTGCAAATATGCAGTGTATTACAGCTTTCTGTAGCATTACATTCATTGAATATTACGCGCAGCCCATTTGTGGTGTCAGGGGCTGCAGATGGGGCCTCCTACATCAAATTAGTTGACCACCACTGCTTTAGACGGTCTTCTATTATCGGTGTCCTTTTCCCAGCGGTTGGCTATCCAGTCAATGCATTCCTCTCAAACCTTTTAGGCAATTGTGCAGCATAGCATTTCCATGTATGTGCTAAACATTTCAACCTGCTCTCCTGTTTTTATCAATTTTGTTCTGAGCATTACTTCCCAAAATCTCACCATAGTTACATAGTTACATAGTATTTGAGGTTGAATAAAGACATTAGTCCATCAAGTCCAACCTATTAGGATCTCATTCTAGGAGTACCTGTACCCCTGTATATTACGGTCCCTTAAGAAATCGTCCAAAAGTTTCTTGAACAATTCCACATTCTTTGCTGAAATCACTGTCTGTGGCAGTGAGTTCCAGACCCTAACTGATCTTACTGTGAAGAACCCCCTTCGCCCCTTGTGCTGGAATTTTTTTTCCACCAATTTTAGGTGGTGGCCTCTAGTTTTTGTAATGGAGTTAATTTTAAACAGTTTATCGCTAATGTTGCTGCCACCATTGAACATTTTGTACATGGAGATCATATCCCCCCTTAATCTCCTCACCTCTAATGTGAACATGTTTAAATTTAGTAGCCTTGTCTCGTAGCTCTGGTCCTCCATACCCCTAATTAGTTTGGTTGCCCTCCGCTGGACTTTTTCCAACTCAAGGACATCTTTTCTTAGTACTGGTGACCAGAACTGGACCGCGTACTCCAGATGAGGTCGAACCAATGATCTATAAAGTGGCAAAATTATAGACTTGTCCCTGCAATACATCCCCTTTTTAATACAGGACAAGACCCTGCTAGCTTTGTTTACAGCAGCCTGGCACTGCAAACTACCTTTCAGTTTGTGGTCTACAATGACCCCCAAATCCTTCTCCATTTCTGACTTCCCTAGCGGCATACCCATAATTGTATAACCCATTTGTTTATTTTTAATTCCAAAGTGCATTACTTTGCATTTATCGACATCTGCCACATTAATGCCCACTCCCCTATTTTATCCAGGTCCTCCTGTAAAAGGAGGACCAAATAAAGATACTAAAAATAGACAAAATGGATATTAATACATCACTTACAAGATTATTACAGTTACGTCCTTCATGGCTACTGTTTATAAGGATTATTTAGAATAGAGTCCAATTAAGCATTAGCCCCCTTTTTCCTCAATTGCCCTAGCACCGTGATGGCTTCTAGGATATAGGCTTATAGGATATTCAGAATGAACATGATAGTGAAGCTCTCCCACACCCCTTTCTTTCATTAGGCAGAATTCAAGAAGTAAAATATAACGAACATATTCAAATTTCATGGTAAAGAAAGCAACCAGGACAGCTGGCCAATAGCAGTGTAAGCATGTAGTTAAATAGGCAGGATATTATTATGATGATTATACAGGACTTATATAGCGCCAACAGTAAGCAGAAAAACAATTCAAGACAAGATGGTTAGGAGGGCCCTTCCCGTGAGAGCTTACAATCTAAAAGGATAAGTGGAAAAAAATATTATCCTGCAGGTAGTAACAGAGCAATTTATGCTTTGCAACTTTTGCTTTTTGGCCTGCACATGCTTTGGAAAGCCAATGGTCATAGAATTCCCAGCTCCTTCAGTCAATTAGAAACCCACATTATGAGACCAAATTATAAAAGGTGAAGTACTGAATATGTACTTAATTTCTTTGTACAACACGTTTGGGAGTCTGCATACCTGCCAAATTCTGATAACGGTAAAAATGTAAACAGCTTACTGGCACACTAAAAATTTGTGAACATTTTCAGGAAAAAGCACCATATTTTTTTAAGTGAACAAACCTGCTGAGCTGAAAGAACCCTGCCAAAAGGAGAGGAAAAGGGAGTCCGTATTATAAGGAATTATGTTCATTGTTTGTGCACTGTACTAACCATACTACATTTTTATACAGCGTCATATATATGTTAAATATTTCAATAAAATATATAAAAAAAATAAAAGCTAAAAAAAAAAAAAAGTTGGAAAAGTTATGAAAAAAAAGGCAAGCAGACAATTTTCCATTGAGGTCAAAAACCCTGGAAATTCTTCCTTAAAAAAGATGAACAAGTTGGTACTCCACCCCAGAAAATTAGGGGTCACTTAAACCCCTAGTGTTATCTTTCCACTCTAAATAATCTGCGCTCCAATAGCTTTTTGTCCGGCTTCTGCAGCCAAGCAATGACTGCTAAAGGAACCGGAAGTAATGCAATCATTGTCGCTTCTGGTCCCATTTAGCAGGGAGAGGATTGGTGAACAGATGTTCGCCTGTCCCCCTCCCCGCCAACACTCGATATGCCAGTCAGGAGGGGCAGCAGAGCCTTAGAAGCAAGGTGGGCTCAACCGCCAGAATCGCATACAGTGTACAGTTGACCGTCAGAAACTGTTTAGAGGGGCCTATCGGGAGTCTGTTTAAATGGGTCCGATGCCAGCGACGTATGACGTATGTTTTTCTGATCAGTGGCAGCAAAAGGATTAAAGAAACTGCTGACCATTTTTATTCTGGCAAGTGGTGCATCACGAAAAATAAAAAAAGACCACAAATAGCTATTATTACAGTGCATTTATTCTGAATTGTGTATTTTGTCTGGAATTCCACCCTAAAGTTACAGATGTATAAGGCATGCTGGTAACACATCTGCTAGAGCTGTTCAGACTCCCCTGCTACGCTGCCCAGGATTACAAATGGATGCTGCAATAACTATGCATTTAACATTGTCTCACCAAGGACATACTTAAAATTACCCATAATTCATTGGGTTTTTCCAATTAAACTGTAGTATAAATAAAGAAAAAAATTCAGGTTTACTAAAGCAAAGTTCAAAAGGGTCACATTGCGTACATCGTGCCAGTTCTATGTGTGCTGGAGAAGAAAGCATCCTTCACTGGTAGGCACTTTTCAATTGCGCAGGATATGGTTTAAATTAGACGAATAACCACATCAATGACACTGAACAATGACTGGCTGAGTACAGAGAAAGTAAACTAAAAGTCTTTCCTCCTACTTGGCTGAGAAAACCATTGAACAAGTTTTGGGCAGGGTGTCAAACCAAACTGTACAAGCCTAATCTCAAAGGTCTCATCTGTGCACAGGACAAACCTATAGGAATATTTCTGGCACTGAAGAACTGGAAAA